ATGATAATGATAATAATAATAGTAGTAATAATAATAATAATAGTAATAACAATGATGATGATAATAATAATGATAATAATGGTAATAATAATAGAGATGGTAGTAACGATGTTAATAATAGTTTTTATGCTTATTGTGCAGTTTGGAATTATTGTGCAGTCTGGGATTATTCGAGGCAAGCTGTGGTAGTAAAATGAAAAAAGAGCTATGATAAAAGCAAAATAATTATTTGAAAGGGAATGTTTCGGTTCATAGAATCATATATAATACTAAGACTGCCTGGGCAGTTGTTATGGGGGCATAATTTCGGTGATGTTACTGGGATGCTCCCATATGCCGAGCGCAACTATGCCAAGTTTTTCGATTTTGGGCGCAAAAAAGTAGGACACACAATGATCTGCTAATATATACGTTCACTTAGTTTTTTTCTGTTAATTAATTGATTTTATCTTTCACTGATTTCTTTCACCCTGAAAATGTGCGGTACAAAATGAACAAGCTTTTTAGAGCGTTCGGAAAAGCAAGAGCTGTGGGAGGGACCGGTGCTAAGTGCCAGTGAAATTGCGGATATCTGTGCGGTGGAAGAAATCAAAGGACGGAATCAGCTGATGCTCGATTTGCAAATGTTGATTTGTGGTGCTGTCATTGTATCATACGACGACACAACCCTGAACGCCGTAAGGGATGGTCTTCCGGAGGTAGCCATTGAAAGCTTTTCAATAACTGATTGGTCCTGGTGAAATCAGAACTCATTTCTTATTCATTTTCTGTGAGAAGCGGAGGCACTCGGAAGTAATTTGATCGGTAATGGCTAACAACAGCAATCACTCACTGCCAGGATTGTTGGTGTTCTCATTTACGAAGATTGTTTAGGAGTAAGCTGATGGTGGTTTTGACTCACTGCGATGCGTGAGCCCCTGGAACGAATTGTAAAGGGAATGTAAACATTATGTAATCTCAGTTTATTGTAGAACTGTAGGACTTATAAAGGAACACTAGATTTGTAAGTACAATACCTGTGTAAAGTTTAGAAGAATACTTATGGGTATCTATGAATAACAGAATTGAAGGTGTTATCAGGATGTGCTGAGGTGGTGCCACTTCGCGAGCATATCGACTCGTTGCGATGGATAAAATCGCCAGCCGAGCAAACACTGATGCGTGAGACATGTCGCATCGGTGCTCAGGCATTCAATGCAATGATATCGCGCTGTAAAGGAGTGGCGAATGAGAACGAAATTGTCGGAAGACTGGAACTTGAGGTACGACGTCGTGGCGCCGCATGTCTCTCCTATCCGCCTGTAGTCGCTGCAGCAAATCGTGCTAATACAATACACTACCTCGATGCTAATCAGGTAACTTTTCGTCTTGATTTGAAGACAAAAACCCTATCAGTTTTTTTTTTTCTGACGATGAAGAAACTTGGAAATAGCTAATGTGGTAGCAGACCTATTGATAAAGCTGTAAATGGCTTCCTCTTTCAGCGGTTATTTGGAAGTAATCTGATGGCGAAATTTCGTAGCTACATACACAGGAGTAATCACTGGCGGATCTAGGGGAGAGGAGGGGGCGAGGGGCCTTTATCTTACCCCCCGCCCTCTTCCCAGCGCGTAGATGGCAGTGCTGAAAGTGAAGAAAACTGTCTTCGATATCG